TCCGAACGGGAAAGCGCCATGCTCTGTATGTTTCGGTCGAGTTGGATGATCCTGTAACCCAGTAAGTCCATAATTAACTGGGGGATTCCGTCGTCGGTGCAGTTGAGTAGGAATCCAGGCGGGCCGCAGTATGACGGACGAGGCCTGCCGGTCAGTGGGTAAGAGAGGTTTTGGAGGTCCCCACATGAGAAGGTCTGGTTGCAGTTGGGGAAGGTGGAAGTGTCGTTTTGGACAGAGGAATGCGTTCCAATGGCGGAAAGGAGGAAGATGAGCGGGAAGAGGAAAACCAGAGGGAGCATGGTGAAGGCCTGAGGAGAGGCAGAGAGCAGAATAGGTGTTGCATTTTGTGAAAAGAAAGCTGGCGGGCTTGAAGGGGTTTGTGAGTTGACTGTTGACAAGGGAGGATGGTTTTGTTGACTCGAAACTGAACGGTGGCATAGAAAATGGCGGCTGTCTGAAGAAGAAGAAGAAGAAGAAGAAGAAGAAGAAGAAGAAGAAGAAGAAGAAGAGAGGGAGTGAGAGAGAGTGAGAGAGAGAAAAGATGAAAGAAAGAGAGAGAAGACAAAATCAAGAATTACTTTGCTTTCTTTTTCCGTTCTTTGTTGAGTAGATTAATGTTTGGGACGCCGGATAGTTGTCAAATTCAGATAAACTAAAATGGTGGGAGTCCTAGAAACATTTAAGTTTTAAGAATAGGAAAAATCGATTAAAAAAATAAAAATATATTTTGCAACTCAAATTTCATTAGATTTCTAATATTAGAAGAAGGTGCTTCCTCTATTTGCTCGGGAACCAAACCGAAGGTGCCTCCTCTTAGGCGAGGAGGAGTGATAGGAGCTACAAGGCCGCAATTCCTAATAGAGAATTGAAAGACAATAAAGTAGGTGGTTCGGACAGCATATTTGGAAAATTAGGAAAAGCAAATTCAAACATATGCAGCCCTTTGTAACTAGCGTACCAAAAAACATAAAGAAAATAAAATAAAATAAAAAATGCATGAGCAATATGGGCTTTGGCGTTTGATATTCTGATTGAATGTGGACAGATCAGGTGAAGAGATTAACAAACAACAATTGTGGGCCCCTATGCTAGAAGGGATATTGGGCCGGTTTTCTTTTGATAAAGAATTCCCAAGGACATGGGTCCATGATTTTTAACAAAGCATGTAAATTAAAATAATAAAGTCGGGCAATTTCATCAACCCAACAAATAAAAAATACACAAGACTGACGTTTATTGATGTAAATTAAAACGTTTTTTATATTTTGAATATAATATTTCTTAATTAAATGTAAAAGTGAATGAAATAATATCCATATTTCTATTTATTTAACAAGTAAAAA